GCGACAGCATACCCGCTGGGGCTGGCCTTCCGGATGCATGCGACCAAAACCTGCCGGCCCAAGGCAAATCAGCCTGGGTGCTTCGCTGCGCGACAGCATACCCGCTGGGCTGGCCTTCCGGATGCTTGCAACTAAACCTAACGTCCTAAGGCGCCTCAGCCTGGGCGCTTCGCTGCGCGAAAGCATGCCCCCTGGGCTGGCCTTCCGGATAGAATGCAGCTCCACACGGTAGCTCGGCCCTTCGCGAGACCTCCTTCGGATGAACCGCATCGGCCCCCTCCGGGTAACTAGTTGGTCCGCCATTCTGACGTCCTCCTTCGTCTCGCTGTTGAATGATGTCCTCCAAGCCTTCTTGGACTCCGCCGCGCGATTCCTCGCGCTCTGCCATCACTTCGCTGTTACTGGCGACCGATATGCCAGCAACGTCGGATCGCCTTATCTACTTTCCTATTGAGCTGGGTCACGAATACAAAGTAAATCCCTATTTAAACAATTCAAACTCCCCAACAGACGACGTTCTGACTTGCGCTTGCTTGCATGGTTGACTGGCGAACTTGCGTTGTCTGGATTCAGCGCTTTGTTCCCAGCTAAACTTTGTAACGAACTACCGTATCAGTCCCTGTCCTCTGGCCCATTCTGGTCTGCGCCTTCCCGCGCCGCACTTGCCGTACTGCACTACAGGACGAGCACTTAATCAACATGCATTCAATGCGTGGTTGATACCTGTTCCGTGCTGCGGAGACTTTGCAGGCAAAGATACCAAGGATATACCAATAGCTTAAGAGTGTTGTAATAAATGATGTAGCTTGGCTTTAGTTTCCATGTTTGACTTTTGAATCACTGATTGATTTCGAGATGGTCAGTACATCGTCCGCCCGCCAGACGTAGTCGTAGCAATTTGATGCAAATCGATATCAAGCGAGTAGTCATATGAGTAGCGAAAATTATTTCAAAGTGTTTGGAATTATCGCTTTGGGGATTGGCAGGAAACTTGTTTGGGAAGCGAGGTGGGCGCGCTGTACACGTTGCCACCCGAATGATTTCTTGTGAAGTCCCGCATGGTAAGTTAATATCTAGCAATTAGAAATCTAGTTGTAGATGTTTGGATGTTAATACCCGATATCAAGCTGTTCTGTCTCTTCGACCTTGTCGACACCTCAGAGAACGTGGCATATACTTATTGCTTCGTAGGAGAGGCTTCATACATGTTAGCTCAATGCTAAAAAATTATCTTTTCGCATTGCGGACAGCCATTGTCTTCAGCTTGCATGGCGGGCGCCTTGGGCTACTAATTTCAAAAATAAGGAAGTCCTCGTGCTAAGGTTTGTAACATTCAAAATATGTAATAATTATATGGCTTAAGTCCTTGCATATTGCCTGTGTGCGCAATTTCGCTGGGGAACTTAGAAGGTGTTTAGGCCGTTGCTTGCGAGCAGAACTCCTGGGGCCGCCTTTCGCAAGCAGAAATGGTACATAAACTTCAAGAGGTTAAAATCGCCCTATTTCCACTTAATTTGCTGCGATCTATCCACCTGCATTTGTGGCGCTTCATCTGCCTTGGCAGCATGACGTCGACGAAGGAACCCGCCGACCGCGACATAGCCATCCTCTCCACCTTCCATTGATAATTTGACCCTGCCACATCAAACGGTGGGACAACTGCTGACGACAGGCTTGCTGCGCACGCTGTGCCCAGCTACCTGCACGCGCAATTCAGGTCCTGAAAAGAGCCGCCCGCGCCATCCACCAACCATTCGCCCCAAGATTACAAGACCTGCCAAAAGTCAGGAATCAGAGACCCGGGACCAAATCGATGCCCTTACTTCCTTCCAACCAGCCGCAAGCCCGTCTATCCACACCACCAGGCAACCCCTCTCATCGACGTCGAGCGTGAACTATGGATTCAGGAAAGGGCATTAGTTCAACTCCAATAGATTTGCCACCAAAGCGGTATGAGGACACTACTGCCGATAAGGAAGAAGCTCCGCACCGTGCTGTCGCCATCGCCATCTACCCCGAAGAGCCGCATTGCGACGGATTTCTCAAACGCCGAAGCTCCAGCGGCAGCTGCAGCAGCATCGAGCGGATCGGCAATGGTGTACGGCAGAATGATGGTGCTGGTTCCGGTGCTGCCGCCGCTTCACGAGGAGGTGCCACCGCCACCGCTGCCGCCATCACCGCTGCCGCCACCGCCATCGTTGCAGCCACTGATTGCGCCGTCTTGCAGCAGCCGACATGCGGCCCGAGCAGCGCTGCGCCAGCGGTTATGACGGCCGTTGACGCCGCCACCGCCACCGCCACCGCCGTCGCCGTCGCCGTCGCCGATGCCACCGCCAGCAATGCCATGTGCGTCAACGATGTCATTACCGATCGTGTGTACGGAGCTACCCGCCAAGTCGCAAGTACGACAAGCAGTACAGGCAGTAACTTTGGTTATGAAAGCGAGTCGTCTGCGAATTCCCACGAGTGGTGGGAGCGATGGCGGCCCCCTTCACGCTGGGCCAAGGCAGCGGCGGCGGCAGCGCCACCGCCGCCGCAGCCGCCGTCACCACCTCATGGAAACCGACATCTGCTTCCCAGCGCCTGGTGTGCCGCCGGCACGGGAGGCTTTTGTGGTGGCTGCGGCAATGGCGGTGGCCCCAGGTATGCACACCATATTGGCTTCAGTGCTCGTCAGACGTGCAACATTGGGGCCCCCTGGGACTACTGGGACTGCTCCGGCGGCGGCGACAGTGCCGCCGCCGCCGCCGCTACCGCTCTGCACCTCCCAGCCACGACGGCGGCAGCGGCGGCGGGGCCATGTCCCTGTGGCCAGAGCCCGGATGTCATGCACCATTCTGTTCCCCTCGGAGTTGCTGCCGGATCGCGTGCTTTGCCTCCACACATGCCCGTGACCGTACATTCGCTACCGTCGTACCGGTACAGTCCATATGCCCGGCCTCGAAGTGCTCCAGTCCGGCCTTGTGGCTTGTCCGTAACGGTCCCGTTGAGGGGAGCGCTGGCTCTGCCCTTAACGGGCAGCACTGGCGGCTGCAACAGCAGGCGGTGGTGGCGTCCAGATGTGCATCATCACCATCATCATCGCCATCATTATCCGGTGCAGCCGCCGCCGCCGCCGCCGCCGCCGCTGCTGCCGCCGCGTGTGGTGCAGCAGCTGCCAATGAAGGCGCCGCCGCCGTTGCCGCCGCCGCCGCCGCCACCGCTGGCAAAGACATGTGTCTCCGGCCACGGCCCGTTCATCCTGTCACCGCCGCCATCAATGCTGCCCCGGTTGCGGAACCATGTGTCGTACTATCCACCGGCGGCGCCGGGAGCTGTGAGAAACAGCATCATTAATGCAGATGACGCAGCGTTTGGCATCACAGGGTGCTGCGCTGATATGGCATCCCGGCCTGCGAATTCAGATATTCATCTTATGAAGACCTGTGGTTCGAAACCGAGCGCCGGCGACCTTTTTAATGATTTGCAGCACTCGATGCCGCACCCCGGCATTGCTTCTGTTGACGGACAGCCGCTGCAGCTGCAGCTGCAGCTCGCCCCTCAGCCGTACGGCTGCTCACGCAAGGGCTCCGATGACACTGGCGGCTACGACGGCAATGGCGGCTGCGGTACAGCCGTAACAACGGAACCCCCAGCTCAGGGCACAGCGACGTCCCAGGCTGCCGCCGCCGCCGCCGCCGCCACTGCGAGTGGCAATGCAAAGGGGCTTCAACCTTCCCAACAGCAGCAGCAGCAGCAGCTACAGCAGCAGCAGCAGTGCCAGCGCCAGAAGTTGCACTGTCCAAACCTATGCTCCCCGCTGCTCGGCCGCAGCAACTATCCCTGCAGACAACAGATGGTGATGCCGCCGCCGCCGCCAAGTTTTCCAGAGACTTCGTGGACTTTCCTCCGACCGGCATACACCGCAGGAATAAGTGGGACAGCGCCGCCGCCACCTTCCCTGCCGTTGCCGCCGTCACCTCCCCTGCTGCCGCCGCCGCAGCAGCAGCAGGAGCAGGATCCCCAGCTGCCGCCGTCGTCGTCGCCGCCGCCGCCGCGGCTGGCTGGATCGACGGCCATGCCGGTCTTGTCAGTGGTGCCGAGGACAGCGCCCTTGCGTCTGAACTCATCAATTCCAGCGCTTGCTGCGCAGCCATCCGCACAGCCATCTGCACAGCCACCATCGTCATTTGCACAACCTTACGGCTGCTGTACACCGTACGGCTTTACGTGCAGCTACGAGTACGACGTTGAGGAGATCCCTCCGGGAATTCATAGTGCCCCAAACAAAACCACAACCCCTGCCGGGACAGCGGTGGTGGGGACGATGATGGCGACGACGGCGGACCGTACGGCGGCAGCAGTCAACACCATGTCCACTTTGAAGGACGACGGCGGCGGAGGCGGCGGCGGCGGCGGAGGCGGAGGTGTCACCGCCTCCGCCGCCGCCGGGGTAGACCCCCGCAGACTGGAACATACGGATGGCCCGCTCTACTGGCCGGCACATATGCCGTACAGGACGCCATCCTCGCCGTACACTGGCTACGCGCATCCGTTGTGGCCGTGCCGCCCCAAGCTTCCCCCTGTGTATGGCACACGGCACCAGCCGTACGGATACACGCATCCTCCGCCGGCTTAATTAGGCAGAGGCTCGGGATGGCCCAATTGGGTTTAGTCTGCTGCGATGTGCTGCACTATCTTTACTTGTTGTCTGTAGAGTGTGGTCGCCCATGTTGATGCCGATGATGATGACGGTGATGACGATGACGGCGATGGTGACGATGATGACGGTGATGATGATGATGACGGCGGTGATGACGATGATTGTGGCTGCAATCCTTCATGCTGCATGCGCTTGGCGATATGCAATACACGAGGCGCTGTGCTTGCAAGTGGATGAGGGGGCGGGAATGTGCTGGGGTTCGCGCAGCGTCGTTGACAACGAGGAGGAAGGAAGGTGGCCATGCAATATGCGCTGACTTGACTTGCTAGCTACGATATAATAGGTACACCGCTCTCAGCAATCTGCGCTACCAAGCATATACCACTCGGTCTCCTTTCTTCTCTCTGATCGATGTGTTTCATGCAGCGCCAGGCGATGTGTCCCCTGGTTCAGCTTCTTTGCTGCTAGGCATAGAAGGTTGGTAGCCCGCCGCTGTAACAACAACAAAAAACAACAAAAACAACAAAGACAACAAAAACAAGAATTGCGGTGTGTTCCGGTCCGCGTCCTTCCTATGCAATGTGTTGGCCTAGAATGCGCGAGCTACGAAGTGGTTATGCTGGGTATTTACATTTAACGCTACGGCTACGATACTGAGCATTGCTGTAATTATCGCGAAGTAATTAAAATACTCATGTGATATACATACAGGACATACAGGACGCACAGTGGGTGCGTTGTTTCTTACTGCTGCTTGAGTGGTACGGCATGACGTGCTGCTGCTGCGGCGGCGGCGGCGATGGAGGTGAAATAATTATTAAAGAGTGATGTTTGATGTGATGCTTTTTGGGGGGCCGGGTTAAGGCACGCACATCCAATTTGCAGCGTACCCGGATTTCTTGCTGCACCTTACGGCTTGCGTGAACGCGCCAGCAAACAAGCGAAGGAATGCAATATGCTTATAGCTACCTGCATCCGATAGCAATGAGTGTAGGCTCATCGGCAGCTGTGTGAGTGATCCAGACAACCTAGACACCCTCTGTTGACCAACACTTCGAGATGCGTGCGGTTTTCTTTTTCGGGGTGGGCTGGCCTGACGACCAGTAGTAGTGGTTTTAAAAGGTTCTAAGAGGTCGGAAAGGTTTAAAAGTTCCTTTAACGCTTTTGGGCTCTACGTTGTCCAGGTATTGTTATTAAGTTACGACGGCGGGCGCACCGGTGGGATAAATAAACGAGGAGATATGCTATTAGATAGAGCAAAGAGCTTTACCACGCCGTACCTACGTACGGCGATATATAGTGCTTCGTACGACGTTGGCCGTATGCACATACATGAAGTGAGAGGACACATACAGGTCGGTCTTCATCGCTATCCACCCGGGTCTGCTGGGCGGTTTTATATTTTCCTGATCCTGATCATCATCCTGATCCTGCGCCCTTCTGGATGCGCATATGGAGAGAGGCGTGTTTTTTGCTTGTGTTCGTGTTCTAAGATTTTGACCATTTCCTACGGCTTTCAACTACTGGCATATACTAAATGAGCAAATGCATGAGCGAATGGGAGTAACTGCACAAAGGTCATGGAACCTATCTATCATCTATATACATAGTGGCAGTGTTTAAGCCTAAGATAGGTGCACATGCAAGCCGCGTGCGTGCGACTACTGGGCTTGCTTGGCTGCGTCGTAGCTAGGCCGATCCCGTTGAGGGACCCTGATGCCAGGTTAGGCAAGTCAGCACGCAAGGGAAGATATATGGAGACAGGGATGAAGAAAGCATCATCAGCTGCACCACCCGAGCTCATCAATCTCCGAGGGTAGGTGTGTACTTGATAATGGCCGCAACAGCGAGGGCGTGTGTATGTATGTATGTATGTGTACCTATATGTGTATGTACGTGTGTACGACCGCATCATGAAGGACGGCTTCCACAATCAGGGTCAGGAAAGTGCGACCTACAATTTGTCGTTGCTTGGGATGGGCGAAGGCGACCTACACATGCCGTTGTTTGGCATGGGGGCAACATACATCTTCCCGCGGACTCATCGCTGGTACACATTGGCAGGTTTATAATTGTATGATGGGTATTCCACGATGTATGATGCCTCCATGTAAAATGACATCCTGCGGGTGCTTTACATTCCGCTAGATGTAGAACACCGCTGACGAGCAAAAGTGTATTTACGTTTGGAATCTGTGGACTCCGTCTGTACCTTTGTGATAAATCGTGTATACTTGTGTACGCGCGGGTGTGTGTGTGCGTGTGTGTGTGTGTGTGTGTGTGTGTGTGTGTGTGTGTGTGTGTGTGCGTGTGTGTGTGTGTGCGTGTGTGTGTGCTAGCTCACGGCAACGTGTTAACTTGGTTTAACGAGCGGCAAGGAATTTCATAGGTTTCGTACAGTTTTGTACGGGCTTTGAAGAGTTTGATGTGAGTTCGAAGGGGCGCCAGCAGCAGCAGCAGCAGCAGTAGCAGCAGGACATCAGGTCCGGTGGGGAATGTAGTCGGCTGCATTATTATTGCAGCGTTCATCTTGGTTGAGCCGTACACTACTGTCCGTACATACACTGCATTGCCTCGGTTGCGCGTATGCAGCAGCTGTAGTGGGGGAGGTGACAAACGTACGGCAGAGTTCGTGTATGTGAGTGTGTGCAAGTGGTGTGGGGGAAGCGCACCCTGGCAAATGACAGGATGCAGTGGCGGGTGCAGTAGTGGATGTAAACTTAAATCACACTAGACAGTAGTGGATCTGAAAGGGAGGGCGCAACGCCTTTGACACCACCTCGGAGGTCGAGAGAAGAGCCATCGCATCCGGTAATGGGCGTACTCGTGCGCTGCAGCTGCAGTCAGGATAACTGACTGACTCCCGGAATAGACAAGATTGCTGCGGTGGTGTGTGTATGTATGTATGTATGTATGACTTACTTTACACTGTGGGCCGCGAGAGCCGGGGGCCGAAGCCGAAACACAGCGCAAGGGTCGGGAGCACACAGCACAAGTCGGTTAGTCTTGTGTGCTCCCGACCCCGACTCAGACTGCCATGTATGTATGTATGTATGTATGTATGTATGTATGTATGTATGTATGTATGTATGTATGTATGTATGTATGTATGTATGTATGTATGTATGTATGTATGTATGTATGTATGTGGATTAATCGGATGGTGTGGGGACGTGTGTGCGCAATCCATGACGTGTGTGATGACGGGCCACGAAGTCTTCGTTAATCTCCAGACGGGCGCCTGGATGGCTATCACCAACCACAGATGACGGCGTGTGCTTCACTTCACCGGCGCGAATCGTATGCATCGCGGTTTGTTTCAGGCTTGGCTTGTTGGTATGCGCCACACATCCGCACTCTCTGAGGAGCCGTGGGGTGCCCTGTTCGGTTCGCTGCTGCTGCTAGCTGCTGCTGCTCAGTCAGTGCTGGGCTCTGGATAATAACTTTATGGTAGTTTCTTTACTGTTGATTTATTCGCAAATTATGGAAAGCACCTGCTGGTGCTGCTGCTCACCACCTGCTGCTGCTGCTGCTGCTGCTGCTGCTGCTGCTGCTACTTTTGATCTAATAGCAGCTGTGCGAGCTGCTGTTGTACATGCCCGTGTAGACCTGCCTTTTTTGTTAGGCTGTCCTTTTACGCACGCATTCGGGTTGACGAGGACGCAGCTATATGACCGCGTTTGTACGGCCTGCGTACGTGGTGTATATGGTGTACGGCACTGACACGGTGGACACTGTTCATCAATCGCTAGGACGTGTTGCAGTTGCTTGGTATATAATGTCGTTCAAGCATATGCACGCACAAACACAAACATAAAAAAGCAAACCCGGGTAATGCAAATAATATTCACGCATTTTTCCTTATCTGGAAGGTGTTGGTTCCCAAATATTAATAGAATTCTTGACATTGACTTCGGTTTCACAACCCGTGGCTATGGGGATGGGGGATGTCCGTACAGGTTTATTTTGAGAAAAAAGGGTTTATTTAAAAACTCCTGGCAATGAAAACTCCTGGCATGCATGACTTCGTTCTTCAGAAATATTGAGGATTACTTACCGGCCGACAGAGAGAAAAGTGGTGCGGCAGTAGGCAGAGGCTGCTGCTTGGCGGTCTGCATGTATGAATGTGCGTATGCGTGCGTGTGTGCATGTCGCTTTTACGTGCTTTCCAGCACGCCATGTCTGGCTCACATTATCAACAGATTTGTTGTTAGTAGTTCTTTCTGTTCTCAGCATTGCTGCTACACGTACTGCTGCAAGCTGTAGTCAAGAACTGCTGTTTGTGGGTGTTGCTACTGCTATTACTAGCTAGCTAGCCGCGCGTTGGAACTGGTGGAACGAAGATTTTTTGATTGCACGCTCGTCAGCCACAAACGCCGCCGTACACGTTACTGCAGGAACGTTGCGGTCAGCGGGCTCCGTGGTTAACGCACGTGTGACGGAGAGACATTGTTGGGAGGTCAATCAGACCTCTGGGTCAATATGCGTCGCCGCACGCGCTATACGGGATCCGCAGCAGCTGCTGGCGGATTAGATTAATCCTATATGTACCGGCGATTCGCGGTACGGCAACAACTGCCTTTGTTTTCTTGCATACAAAATTGAATATGGCTCGCTTTCGCTTTCGCTTTCGCTTTCGCGCCAAAGGTATTGATGATGATCCTGAATGCGCGGTCCTCTGCGGTCCACTGTGAATGAACGCAGAGATACATCCGGGTACTTATTTTCCGTTTAACCGAGAATGCAATAATTGAATGAACATGGGTCACAGTCCTGGTGTTTGCCGGAGTTTTAAGAGCTTTTCGTGATGACGGTTGATAGGCGCCCCCGCGGCTTTTTTTGGCCGTTTCCAGTAGTTTATCATGCTTTGCTTGTTTGTCAGATTTTCCACTTTTGCCGAAAAATGCGAAACCTCGCATTTTATCTCTCCTCCATTCCGAAGTTTTTGATTTCTCACTATTCCCTGGCCGTCATGTCATGTTCACGTACTTGACTTCTAAAACGAGGATTTATTCTCCATTGTAAAACGTTTACCATGATATGAATTGGTTTGCGGACCTTTGGATGGCCCGCAACTCATACATCGCTTTGAGGGCCCAGCCAACCGGTGCCCTCTGCACAAACCTTTTAGATGTTGATTCCCTTGATTCGCCTTGCAGCACGATTTCCACGCTATCCTCTACGCAAAAGTTCAGACCGGTGTCCAGCCAGGGGTCGGCAAACGCCGCTGGTACAGCGGGTCCTTCCGTTGTACCCGTTGCAGAAATCTTCATCGCGGGTACGGCAGCCATACGGCAGGGTGCAGAAATTCCCCCCAAAAGGCAGATTTGCGCAGTTTTGAAGCTATAAACTTCATCATTAGGTTACCAAACCTTCCATTTTACAAGGGGGTAAACGCTAGCTTTGAGAGGTTCTCATAAGGAACAGTCAATTGACGACCCGCAGACTCGGCTTTTACCAAAAACACCGGGGTCCTGGTGAAGCAGCTGACCGCGTAAGAAAAGTATATAGATGCGGAAGGTGCGGAAGTATGTCGGTGAAACATGATGTGGCAGGAGAGGAGAGAATAGTGCAGCGGTATATTGTGAGTGTAGTTGAAGGGTTACAAGGCGTTCGGCACACGGGCTAATTTACGTGCATACCTTTCATCGTGGGCGCGTCCCGTTGCAAGCTAAGCCACGCGTATACATGACGTGTAGCATCAGTCCTCAGTTCACTTCTTGTAACGAACATCAGCATAGGTCCAAGCCCTCTCGCTTGGAGGGATATGCAAACAAACATCATGATAGGTAAACTCGCACGCTACCGAGCATTCAACCGAGCATGCTACGAGCAGTCCTTGTAAGGAGCAGCATACCACTCACGGCCGTATGCGCAGCAAAAAGCTGTTCCGTGCCATCAGCGGCGTCCATGTCACCCACACGGCTCTGAACGACTTTCCTGTTCTTATGTTTAATTTTGTGTATGTTATATTTAATTTGCGACCGGACACAATTGTGCGAGGGGCTGCTTAAAAAATTCCATACAGTTATTCGACCCTGGCACCAGTACCCGTGACAGTTATTCAGGGTTTGCCGACCTCTGTGTCCAGCGCACCGGTCGGCAGGGATGCAGGAAAATGATGATAGTACGATCCATTCCGGGCATTGTATTGTATGTGATGGCTGATGACCCGCACGGGCCGCCGGTCTATTCCCGCACTGCCGTACGCGCGCTGCCGTACGTACGATACAGACAGTGGATGGGTTACATGAGTTACCTTAATACTTTACTAATTATGTACTTGCCAAGACCAACGACTCAGGATGACAACTCCCTATGCGATTTACCTGATGGCCCTGGACGGTGTATGATGCTGATAGCACCAGACCTATTGCTAGATGCCCGATGGCGTTGGGGTCAGCTAGGGGGGGCTTAATGCGGTAATATGATAACAAAACACACACACACACATATATCCGCGCCCCCCGTGTACATAATGCGCCTCATTGTATGTGGGGCGAGGATGCCGTACGTACGCACGTACGACATCACCACCTGCCTCATCTTTTGCCATGCATGCAACCTGATGATGAGCATTCAATCCGTATCTAGGGTACGGATCTGCGGAGGAAGGGAGGGAGAGGGAAGACGAACCACGAGCGAGCGAAGCTGATGCCAAGGCGAGACTGATGCGCCAGAAATAAGGAAGGCGTGACTAACCAGTCGGCGGTTGCGAAGAAGAAGAAGAAGAAGTCCTCGCGATGATGTTAGTAGTCGTGACGATAATTGAAAGCTACCTACCTAGCCGCCAAGATTAAAATAAAAATCCTAAAGAGAGCAGGAAAACAACTGTAATATTCTAGAGGCGAAGAGCTCCCAAGGAAGCTCGAAGGAAGCTCGAAGGAAGGGAGGGAGTGAGGGCGGAAGGGAGTGAGGGCGGGAGGGAGGAAGGAAGGAAAGAAGGTGTGTGCGCGCATTGGGTTATTGCTTATTAGGCAAAACACGCTGATGTGCCCACGAGTTTTCACAGATGTATGTTGTCGACTGTAGGTGATGGCGAGCGCATGGTTAGCTTTGCCAAGTCAGGGCTGTTCTTATAGCTGCTCCGGAACCTAGCACTGCACGCCTGCTGCATGCACAGCGCCTCTGCTCGCGGGTGTGTCGTACGGCATATCGTACTTTGATGAGATGCCAAGCCAAAGGCAGGGAAAATAAAGCCATAAAAACAAGATTGCATATGTTTACACCAATCCTCCTGCTAATTCTCATATCCTCGTGATAGGAGGGAAAGGGGGGATGCCAGGTCACGCACATTTTATTCTGCTGGCTTGGAGGTCCTCCGATTAGTGAGGAGGAGGTGGAAGGGATCAGGCGGATTGGTGAAGTAGTCTGTCCGGGAGAGATTTGAAAGTAAAGAAGCGGGAGCACTCAGCAACGACATGGCGGAGGAGCGGGACACCGGTATTGTATACGTCGTGCATCCGGTGCGAATTGTAAAGGGCCTCATATGAAGAGAGCAGCTGATAATGTACATTGCAAATTGCTTTTTTGGACAGTTGAGATGACGCTGTGGCCGCACGAACGGCGACCTGTACAATCCTGGCCATGATGTGGACAGCATCGCTCCACCCTTGCTCAGAGAAAATTTCCAAAGTTTTCACACCGAGAAAGTTTGTTGGCCTTCCGATGTGCTTATGACAACGCAGTGGCTTTCTTCCTTTATCGTAACGAACGCCTTAGTCAACGAAAGAGCTATCCACAGCTTTACAAACTACCACGAAAACTAACTTTCATATATGTTGTGCTGTGACAGCCGCAGTCACTAACTGTTTCAAAATCCAAGGTTTTCGCTTCGGCGAGCGCCATCGGATGAGCAACATGAGACCAGCCACTTCAGCAGCTTGCAATCATTCATCCCACCATATCAAAGCCTCTGTCTGTTCAGATGCGCATGCAACAGCTGGCTTAAGACCTCATGTCCGTGCCCATGGTTCCACTTGTGGCATCCCACCTCAAGGAAGGCCAGCAGGCGCCGCCCCTTCGCTGTCCGCAGCTTCACCACCGGCCAGTTCCCCCGTGCGACCATCTGAGGCGCCGGCATCAGTGGCAAAAGGCCTTAGCAATTATAGCGGCAGCAACAAAAACAACCCCGCTTCGGCAGCTGCAGCCGTACAAAGAAGCGTCGGCCGGCGAGCATGGCTGATGACCTCCGTCACCACCGCTGCCGTCACCGCATTCTGGCCATCAGGCATTGGAGGCGACGGCTGCGGTGGCGGTGGCGGTGGCGGCAGGATCTGGGGCCGGCCGGTGCACGCCGCCACCACCGCCATCACCAACCCAATGGGGCCCGCCGTCGACCTCTCCACACTACAGGTGCACGTGTCTATGTCTTGGGACCCTGAACACACAACCGCGTCTGTGTTTATGTATGTCGGTATTTATGTTGGCGAATGTGTCGTTGTGTAATGTGTACACCCGTACCTGCCTACCCCAGTGCCGAGATGGCATGAGAAAAAGCAAAGTGAAATCCAATATAACCGAATAACTGAAGTGGCGTATTTGAAAATGACCCGAGGGACTGTTATCATTGCGTTGTTGGTCCGCAGCGACTGCAGTTTCCATCGGGGGCTGCGGGACGACGACATGCGGCTCCCCCGCAGTACCTACCCGCAGCCGAAAAGTGCCTAAATAAGCTCCCCTCCTCCGGCCGCGTGAGGGTCCCGAATATGACAGAAGAAAATCTAACCGGAAATTTCATTTCTTTCCTAAAAGGCGACAATAATATATTAGCCCAAAATTTGAAATTTTGAAATGAAAGGAATGACGCTGACAGACCCATAGCGGGAAAGAAATGATTTGTCGTCCTCTGGTTGCGACTCCTTAATTCCGGCGTCCAACACAACTTCCAACTGTCGCAACCGTTGCAACTGTTGCAATCGTCACAGGAGGAGGCTTATTTGGCGTACGCGGAGCGGCGGTTCCAGGACGCCGTGGATTTGTTGACACGGTGTATTGCTGCGGAACCTGAGTCGGCAAGGTGGCGGGAGATGCGGGCGGAGGTAGGTGGGTTGGTCCACCGGCCCTTTCCCTCCTCCCACTTTGCCTTTTGCAACCACCCTAACCACCCTAACCGCTCTAACCGCCCATGTACAATCCCGCAATCTCGCCTTCACCATCCCCTCACCCACTCGCATCATTCCCACCACCGAGCAGGCCCTCGTCGATGGAAAGAACTTCAGCGCAGCACTTGAAGACTTTGAAGCTGCCTTAGGGCTGGTGCCCGGTAGGTGGTTGGGACTGCGGTTGGGCGGTGGTTGAGAGTGGTCGGTTGGTAGTTGACGTAACGGTTGAACAGTTCGCTAGGGTGTTGTGAGCGAGTCTGTGTGTATTTGTGTACATACATACATGCATGCACAGACAGACAGACAGACAGATAGACAGGCACCACACGTCCCGGGCTCTCCTGTAATACCCCCTCAACCTCGACATGGCGTTGTTGGCGACCGACGACGACGGCGACTATGATGACGATCTCGCGTGCCGTCATTGCTGCCGTGGATTGCATGTACGGCGTACGGCATCGTACATGGCGTGTACAACAGGCAAAGACCTGGTCACTCGCGCGCGGCTGCTTACGGGGCGAGCTCTGGCCTACGAGGGATTGAGTCGGTGGGGAGATGCCTTGGCGGACTACCGGAGAGGTCTGGATCTGGCGGCGGAGGCAGGGTGGGGCGGGGGGATTGCGGGGGGAAGGGGGCTGTGTGTTTTGGTCACCTGGTGGTTCCACTTGGTGGTTCCACGTCTGGGCTTTTCATACGGCTCAGCACAAACGAACCTCCAAATGTGTCTGCAAAGCCAATGACAGAGGGATGTGTGCGCTGCCGCTGTCGAAGCAAAAGCGTTCCGCGTATGTATGTATGTATGTACATATATGTATGTCGACACTTAATCCTATTTCTTTTCCTACTAGTTGCGGAAATGACCTTCACGGCCGCCCGTCCGCCCGCTTACATGTCGTACAGCGAGTCGTTGAATCCGTACGTGCTCAACAGCATTGGCAACTGTCTCAACTCCCTGGGCCGTTGGGAAGGTGGGTATGTTTTTGGGATGTTCGGAACCCTTGCATACCCACGTACGTACATAATAACTCAATATCATTTTTCCAAAACCTGCGGCTTTCTTCATCTCCTAGTTTTCTTATAACTGTGATCCTCACTGTGACACATCCTTTTTGCGAGTTGCCCTCCCGAGGCTGCTTCCCCGCCTCTCGTCTGTTCCTTCATCACCAGCAGCATCTCCATCTTATCTTCTGTTTTTGTCCCAGCGTTTTTTCGTCTCCCCTCCTTTTGTTTATAATGATCGTTGGCGCCATCATCAACATCAACAACAGAAGCAACTCGACATTGTCATCATCATCATCAGCAGCAGCAGCAGCAGCAGCATCAGCAGCATCAGCATCAGCAGCAGCAGCATCATAAACATCAGCAGCAGCAGCAGCATCATAAACATCATCATAAACATCATCATTATCAGCATCATCATCAGCATCATCATAAACATCATTAGCTTTACTTATTTGTTCTTCCCACAGAGGCTCGTGAGCAGTACCTGGCGAGTGCGGCCGTCTTCCAGCAGGCGCGAGGATTCAGGGGGCGTAACGGCGCGACGACTCCACGACTCGATGGTACGGCAGTTACGGCACCTGGGTTTGGTATAGCCTAACGTACAGGAAAGGACATACATGCGTTCATGCACGCAGGCGCCATCTTCGCTTCCTCCAATGCGGCCCTTATGCGAGCCCAATTAGGCGACACGGACGGCGCGGTCCAGGAGGTACGGACGGTGATATGTACGGTAGCGTAAATGTACGGCTTTTTAGAATGTACGGAAATGCATAACTGGAGGCTTCTATATACACAAATGTACACATACACGTGTACGTATATATACATATGTAATATATAATACATTATATATATTACATATATATGACTTAGATTACACTGTGGGCCGCGAGAGCCGGGGGCCGAAGCCGAAACACAGCGCAAGGGTCGGGAGCACACAGCACAAGTCGGTTAGTCTTGTGTGTTCCCGACCCCGACTACATATTATATCACCCTGATTACATATTATAATATATATGTATGTCGTTACAGGGTGGTTAAGCTTCACCAGCGGCCCCCTTATATATGTAAAATATAACATAGCGTGCCATTATTTACACAGGGCTAATACATCTCGCTCTTGCCGGCCTCGGCCGCACGTGTGTGTTACCTTCCCAACAACCACCTAACCACCAAGTGATCTCCTTCACCTACCGAGTACTTGCACTTTACACGTACGGCAGATGGTACGAATTGCTCGACGAGCTCCTGGCAGCGCGGACATGCGGGCCGCACTGGCCGCCTTGTACTGGGGTCAGGGGCGGCGTCAGGAGGCGGAGGAGATGTGGGAGTTTGCTTGCGACGTTATAACGGTGTGTTTTGGATGGGTTGTCGGCGCCGTGGGTGTGTTGGTGCTGGGCTGTGGGCGTGGGCGTGGGCGGCAGCACCGCCTCCCAACTATATTTTGGGGTAGCGGGTTCAGGTTGTGAGCAGCAGCAGGGGGACCGTCTGCGTGTATGTATGTATGTATGTGTGTTCCCCGTCTGCCCCCGCAACAGCAGCAGTAGCAGTAGCAATAGCCACAGTAGCTGTAGCGCTACAGGTCCAGCAATATAAGCAAAATATTAGCAATCTTAGCGGTGCTAAGAGGATCACTAGCCGCACGAAGCTCCGGTGCTCCGGGCCTCATTAGCAGGTTTACTTGTACTGCACCTGTCGTACGAATGTCGTACATGCCGTACGCAGGTGGGTTGCGCCAAGTACACGGATTTGGACTGGCTGGGCCGTATTCGCCGTTGGCCACCTGTCATGGTGGCTGCCATGTCGGACTTTCTGTCCTTGCGATGACACGTCAAGATAAATAATCTTGAGATTTGAGATAACGATAAAGATGTGATGTGGGTTGAAATATGAGATGTGTGCGTGTGTGTTACATGGTCGTGAGGTGCGCTCCCCGCTCTACCTGCAAATATGAGGTGTGACATAAGCGCGTGTGCAAATGAAGAGATCGAGCTGCACGCAGCCATGTTATCTCGGCACGCATCGACATGATAGTGTGGCAGTTCGTGTGGGTGGGCATCGTTGTTTTAAATTCACGACGTCAGGTCGGGCTGGTGCTCTCTTGTGGAATACGTGTGCTGCTTACAACAAAAAAACCATTTTTGTTCCTGTTATAGCGGAAAAGGGTTACGTGGGAGAAGCGTTGCGAGCGGGTTAAGCCTTTACGTCAACCGTTTTCCATCTGGTTCTTTTTATACCTACCTATACCTGTTGAGGCAAAACTTAACTTTGCGAGACTCCAAAGTATCATCTCCAGCAAGAACCAACTTTGGGTTTCGCATTTGCCCGTTCGTTGTGCACGGAAGACGTCATTGGGCAGGTCTTAGTGACGACCCCTGCGTTTTTACATATTCACTTGCGCCAGTCCCTTCCATTCTCTCCTCCCACACACTGCCGGCAGGCGCTCCACCGCCAACAGTCGCAGTCACTTCCACCGTCCTACCTACCTACATATCTACCTTCCCGCACCGTGTACCATACATCAGCATCATTGCCAACTCCCCGAGCCGAATAGCTGTACTTCGCCTTTCACGAAAGCGGCAAAAGCTCATCACAACACCCAGAACCTATTCACCCACAACCGATCAACCAGTAAGCACCTGTTGTGGCTGGTACATAGTACGGCACACATGACGTGTATTTGAACACATGTACAAAACACTCTGCCAGAGGCCTTTTCTGCGACGGGGGCCAGCAGCTACTGTAGTGCACTGTACCCCGTCTTAAAGGAAAAGAGAGAGCTAACAAACCTCAACACCATACCTATCTACCCAAGTGACCCCGCCATTTCACATTGTTAAAAAAGATCTTCACACTGTTAACCTGTGTTACTGTAGAAACCACACCTCCACCTCCATCATATCCCAGGGCCGGGCCCGCCGCAGCGCACCCCTACCTGACGCAAAGCTGCCGTACACTCGGCTAGCAAGCATGACAATAAAACACCACCGGCAGGAGCACGTCGCAACGAAGCGCAACGCGAACACACAGGACACAACACAGCTCTTCCAAGGCATAGCTGCAATGCTGCCTTGACCACTGTACGATACTTAAAATCTCGATTCAGATGATTTTGAAAAGACCTTGTAAACGTTAGGAGGCCTTTGCAGTCTAAAGCTATTATTACCCTGCCGGACTGAGACAGCGCGCGCTTACATACACACACACTTGCACACACACACACATATGTCCAACTAAAACAACGGAAAGGGCTCGGGCCCACGTCATTTCCTTTCTTCACAGGACCATCACCAGGTCTACCTGCAGACACACATACATAAACACATACACATGGACGCATGCACACGTGAACACGCACATACGGACAGACATACAAGTGAATAATAACGTAAAATAAGGTACCACGAAGTCACAACAACAAAAGACAACAGCAGTATTGTTAATAATAGGGGGAAGCGGCTCCACGACGCAAAACGTTAGCGATCTGAGGTAGTGGTTCAGAAGCGCGCGTGCCGCGAAAAGAGTAGAGATCAGTGCAGCATCTCTTCACCGCCGTGGAAAAAAGTCAACCCCCATACAACTACCATTACCACTATTACCATTGCTACTCCCTTAAAACCTTACAGCCTTGCCAGGCCTGGCCTTGGCAAGGTCAAGGTCAGGTTTCATGCACTCAAGGAAAAAGGACAAGGTATTATTTAGGGCTCAAAGGTGTGTTTGCTAGAGGCCGGGCATGGGGAAGCTCTGCGCGAGGGCCTCCACCTCCGCTCGCAACGCCGCGATGTCGGGCCTGGAGGCGCCGGGGCCCTCCACGTACTCCTTGAACTCCTTGAGCTTGCCGGGAGCCGGGGTCTTAGCCTACGTGGGGCCCAGGCGGGTGGGGGGCGGGGGGCCGGGGAAGGGAAGTGTATGTGTGCGGGTGTGCGGAGTGGGGGGTATCCATGTGCGGAGTGGGGGGTATCCATGTGCGGAGTGGGGGGTATCCATGTGCGGAGTCGGGGGTATCCATGTGCGGAGTGGGGGGTATCCATGTGCGGAGTGGGGGGTATCCATGTGCGGAGTCGGGGGTATCCATGTGCGGAGTGGGGGGTATCCATGTGCGGAGTGGGGGGTATCCATGTGCGGAGTGGGGGGTATCCATGTGCGGAGTGGGGGGTATCCATGTGCGGAGTGGGGGGTATCCATGTGCGGAGTGGGGGGTATCCATGTGCGGAGTGGGGGGTATCCATGTGCGGAGTGGGGGGTATCCATGTGCGGAGTGGGGGGTATCCATGTGCGGAGTGGGGGGTATCCATGTGCGGAGTGGGGGGTATCCATGTGCGGACAAGGCATCTAAATGAGAGCCGGGGGCAGTGTTTGATCGGGGCTTGATGTGCTCGAGGGTTTCTATGTGCAAACTACCTACATAGTGTGTGTGTGGGGGGGGGTTCTCCCCCTGTTCGGGAAGGTGTATTTAGGCACACACACGTATCACCCACCATCATCATCATCATCATGATTACACCCATCATCATCAATGCCATCATCAACATTACATCATCAACATCAACATCAACATCATCATCATCCTCACCCTTCTGCCGTCTTCGACCCCTACCTGGCAGTCCTTGGCGATCTGAATGGCGCGGTGGATGAAGTCCGCCACCTGCTCGAAGTCCCGCTCCTGGAAGCCTCGGGTGGTGAGGGCGGGAGTGCCGATCCGGATGCCTCCGGGCACCATGGCGGACTTGTCGCCGGGAACGGAATTCTTGTTGAGCGTGATCGAAACCTAGTGAGGGCATTTTTTTGGGGGGTGTTGATTTTAGGTTCGGTTTTTGAGAAAAAAACAAAAACATACAAGTATAGCCACGGCCTTAATGCTATTCCATACCCGGATCCAATCTAAAAATTAAGAAAACTAGAGGAGAGGTAATTCCACAACAGATGCCGTCTCACCTGATCCAGCACCGTCTGCACTCGGGCACCGTCAATGCCAGCCGGCTTGAGGTCAATCAGTACGAGGTGGTTGTCCGTCCCGTCAGATACCACCTGTTGTCGTACAAGGGTACACGCCATGCCCGGAGGACGTAACACTACTTATAAAAATATTGGAGAACGGAGACAGAAGGAATAAAGAAGAGAAAAAGAGGTGAGAAATGAGACTCGAGAGCAATTTCAAAAAAGGAAAAGAGGAAAACGCCCCGAAAAGGGAGAACCAGGATCATTTCCACCTGGCCTCCCAAATCCCTCGAGGACCCCCCTGAACCCCCTGAACCCCCTGCGCTCCCACCTTATACCCGTGCGCCTGCAGCCTCTTGCACAGCGCCTGGCAGTTGGCCACCACCTGCTGCTGGTAGATCCGGAACTCCGCCGTGTTGGCCATCTTGAGAGCCACCGCCAGGGCGCTGATGGTGTGGTTGTGCGGCCCGCCTTGGAGGCCCTACGCGCAAAACATGATATGTGAACAGGCGCACTTGTGCGCACATAAAGAGGGTTTGGTTTTTCTTGTGGGTGGGGGGATGGTGGGGGACGGGGGGTTTCGGACGGGGACGGGTGCTTGGGGGGACGATAAAAGAGTCCTGGGATACACGAAACGCACAGGTGTGTCGTCAGGTGTAACTGATTGACACATACGGGTATCCTAATAAAAGCATGTATTGTACGGCGTACGGGTAGGTGTACGGCATAGAGAAAACCGTGACCCACCGGAAACACGGCCTGGTCAATCTTGTCCTTGAGGTCCTTCCGATAGAAGATCATGCCACCTCGAGGGCCCCGCAGGGACTTGTGGGTGGTGGTGGTCACGATGTGCGAGTACGGGAAGGGAGACGTGGCCACACCCGCCGCCACCAGCCCGCTGATATGCGCCATGTCAGACATGAGGTAGGCGTCCGCGGCGTCGGCGATGGCACGCATCCGGGCGTAGTCGTAGTTGCGGGAGTAAGCCGATGCCCCTGGGGGGTTGGGAGGGGGTTGGGAGGGGGGGGGAGGGGGTTTTAGCGTGCGTGGGCGTGTGTTTTTTGTGGGGAAGGGAGAGGGGAGAAAGACTCCCGGATCCAAAAATTCCAATCAGAGAAAAATCCAAAACCCAAATCGTGAAATCGAATGGATGACATCAATACCCCGAACCACCCGCAAGGATGTCCAACCACCCAACATCCCACACCTGCAATGATGAGTTTGGGCCTGAACAGCTGGGCGGACTTCTCAAGCGCGTCGTAATCGATGGTGCCCGTCTCCTCGATCAGACGGTACGGCATCGACTCGAAGAAGATCGACGTGGCGGAGACACGGCGCTTGGCCGTCATGAAACCGTGGGTGAGGTGACCACCTGTTTCGGGGGGGGGAGGGAAAGGGGGGAGGGGAAAGGGGGAAAGGGGGGAGGGGAAAGGGGGGAGGGGGTAGAATGTGGGGGTGACAAGGCGGGCGGGAGGCATGGAAAGCCAGGATGGCGACGAATTCCATCCGATTCTGTCGATCGAACGAGCAGGTCAGATCATGCATCGGTCTCTTTTCTCGGCACAGGAAAGGCCCTGCCGGTGGCTTCCCGCTAGCTCCGAAACCACACCACCAGCACTGCTAGGAACACTTCCCCTACCATCGTGCCCTCCACCACACCCACCCAGTCCAACTCCAATCCCCCACTAGCGGCCCCCCTGGGAACACTTCCCCCCAACACACACAATCACATCACATTACAGCGCTTCGTACAGTGTACGACAGACCAGCAGCTCGCTGCAGAGTTACTCGTGTCGCAAACTTTCCGTTCCCTCTTTTCCCTAGCATGTTGTAAACCTACTACTCCATACAGACCATTTATAGAGTTTCTTTTTCTTCTCCTTTCATTCCTTTTCTTGGGGTTCGCGCGAAGTTAGATTTTCGTAGATATAGGTTTTTCTCTAACCGTAACAATACGTGCAAACCCTCCCGCCATGTCCCCTCTCCCCTTCCCTGTCCTGCTCCCGCTCCTACACCCTCACCCACTCTCCCTCCCATCCACTTGCCATCCTCACACTTGCCATCCCCCCTCCCTTCACCTCGCCCCTTTCCCCCGTCCTCCGCGCCTTCCTCAAAACCCCCTTACCCCGCACCTAATCCCCCTTTCCCCCCCACCCCACCCCTTACCCCTGTCCATCCTCTCTCAACCTAACCCCCAGACCTCATCACCTCCCTCCCCAAACCTCCCCAAGCCCCCCTTCCCCCCCACCTACCGTGCGGTAGGTCCAGGCCCATGATGCGGTCGTGCGGCTGCAGCAGCCCCGTGTATACGGCAAAGTTGGCTGGTGAGCCGGAGAGGGGCTGCACGTTGACCCCCCACTCCGCGGGGTCCAGCTGAAACAGCTCCAAAGCGCGTTTCTGGGCTCCGAAGAAGCGGAGGAGAACGAGGAAAAGGCGGGGCGGAGAGGGGGCAAAGAGGGGCACGGAGGGGGAATGGGAAAGGAAGGGGAATGGATGGATGCATCAGGGGCTTACAGTGGATTCGGATAGATCAAAGAGTGGTTCCGCTGAGGGGGTGTTGAGAAGTGGGAGGGAGGAGAAGAGGACAGCAAGGTGGCAGCAAGGTGGTGAGCTGGGAAGCGCTGGGCCCTGCAGCGCAGGCTGGGGCTCCGAGGTAGGCGGGGCAGGAGGACGGTCCCGAGCAGCAAAAATGCGGGTGGTGTCGTTGCATGGCGACTGGCATGGCGGTCCCCAGGGTCGCAAGGCAGGGGCAGCTGAGCGTCGAAGTCGAATTGGTTCTGTTAAATTAAAATAAGTTCAAAGTGCTCACCTCGCACAGCAACTCAACCTGGTCGATATACTCATTGCCGCCATAATAGCGGGCGTTCGGGCGGCCCTCTGAGTATTTGTTGGTCATGCAGCTTCCCAGAGCTTGCATCACCTAGTAAAAACAGGTTGTAAGCAGAAGTGGTGAAGCACAGAATAAGGTAAATTACTTCCGACAATGTGCAAGAAGGGCTTTTCAACAAAAAGGACTTAAGGAATCTCCACAAATTCATAAACTTACCGCCTTTGAGGTAAAGTTCTCTGAAGCGATAAGCTCCAGGCCGCGAACCTGCAGAGACCAGGAGTGAAGCTGAGGCGTCATGGACCGCCACGCACGTCACGCCGCCGCTACGGAAGGTCGACAAGGCATACGAAGTATCCAAGGCAGAACGTGCGACAGCTATTCTGCATGTTTGGCTAGAGGCTTCCGAGCTGCCAAGGCTGACGGCCGACCTGGCGGGCCTTCTCCTTAGTGATGAGCGAGTGAATCTCCGGGTCAACCTCCGAAAGAGCGCCATCAAATTGGAAAAGCTTCTTGCCTGCTTAAAATGAAAGCAAAAACAGGTATTTTGTCTGCTGCCACGGGACCGTGGCGGCCGCCAAACGAGTCCCGACTAACGACTTGCCTGCGGTAGGAGCCGGAGGAGCGACAGTTGCCTTCACAACAATAGCACGACGCAAGACACGGGTGTTGCGGACGGAGCTGGCACCCGCCGAAACACGTTGCTGCTGAAGCTGCATTGTCTGTTGTTGGTTTGGGAAACGACTGTCGACTAAAATTCGAGCGACGAAATTGCCTCGAAGATAGGCAAGCAGGAACGCAGGTTAAGCAAATGCGCTCTCACAAGTCTCTAGTAGACGCATGTGGGAGGCTCCACGCGGTGCGTTTCACGACGGCGTGATAGTGGACGAGCATACGGCAGTTGCCAGGGGACGCTAAACGTGAAGCTGACGCGCAATGGAAACAATTACTTGATGCTAATAAACTACTTACTAAGCTCTATTGTCTTTTCTTAAATAACTTGCAGGTTCAGGCTTGACAAGGCCTGCTGAAATATGGTTTGCTTTTGTGTCAGTTTGGACCCTAGGTAGCCCCCGGGTCAACTTGCATTCCGTCTTCAGCCGTGGCAAGAGCGGGTCCAATAACGTGGACTAGGAACAGGAGCAGTTCTTGAGCTTTAGCTTAACATGCCAAACTGGACTTCCAAAGAACGCAGGAAGGATTGCGCCGCATGCCGCTAGGCATCGCATACTGTATGTATAATACAGGAGTTCCAACCGGCAAGAAATTTTATGGATCCGGACTGGTGTATTTGCACAGGACTTGCGTCCGATATGCACTACCATGCTGACCGGCCTTACACGCAAACTGGTGAAAGTCCGCATGCAAAGACGAAGCGTCTCCGACAGAGGACAGCAATTATACCACAGGCCGCATAGCGGACGTACGTAGCAAGAATTTTCAACATTCGTTGGACAGAGCTGTCTCTGCACATGCACACACCCGGCTAACAGGATGCGCGGTTTAGGAGGCATGCAGAGGAGAGCAGCTACAGATAGCAAGCAGATACCCACATGCGCGCCGCGCTTGTCGCTTTCCTTCCCACGCATAGCCAGCCACAGAAACCCCCTTCCCCCATTTCAGCAGTAACCCTTTGTCTCTTACATATATAATGCTCCACCAATGCTGATGCACATGGGAATGCCCTGTATCCGAGCAGCCTCTAACCCGAAAATCCCAGCCGACTAGCTAGTAGTAGTGCTCAGAGCATATCTATAACAAGTACTGTAGTACAGCAGCAGCAACGGCGATGGGCCGTCAACTTTCTGAACCTAAACTTCACTATCCACTATGAGAGATTGAATTAGCCGTTAGCAGCACCAGCACCACAAGCTCATCACCGTCGACAGACACGATCCAACTTAAAGAGCCGAGGTCGCTCATCTAGCACAGGTGACGGCATCTGACACCCGACGTCTCCAAAGCCGCCCACTCCCCACTCCCCATGCCTCCACACATGCCCAACGTGGCTTTATTGCTCTTCCCCCCTTCCTCCTGCTGTTGCTGCTTCTCCTGTAGAGCAATAGCCCTTGCTGAGGCTTTAAAACCGAACTCTACTCTTAAGATCCTGTGTCTCTTTGGAACAATTATATATTAGGCGATATGAAGGCGGAAAGAGCTCTTGTATGTGCTCTGTTTTTACAGTGGATTTCTGAAAGAAGGTGTCTCATACGCGAAACTCACGACCCAACTCTGTATGATATGTAGGAGCAAAAGCCGTGCCGCTCAAAAACCAACCAGCAGAGACGCGCATCTGTACAATACCAGCTACTAAGTAGTACACACCAACACCTTTTCATATAAGAGTGGGCAACCCGCGGTCAAGGGATACAAGGTCAAGGTCACCGTTTACGTAAGAGCGGTTATCGTGTAGGCGTAGGCGTAGGCGTAGGGCACTTGCAGCGATATATTCGCTGACCGACCTCCCTTCGGGACCTCCATAACCCAACCAAACGTGCCAAGGGAAAACTCGCCGTATTGCTGCTACTGCTACTGCTGCTGCTTGATTAGGCAACTGCTGTTTGCTACTGCTGCTGCTACTACTGCTGCACGCGAGGGTCAGTGCTTGAGACATAAGGGGGCTACAGCCGCCATTACTTCCCCATTCCCCGCCACCCCCAACAAACCAACAGCAGGAGCTACTACGACAAAATGCTCACCCAGTTCCTCCGTGCTATCCCCGCCGTAGCAACCGCAGTAGCAGCAGTATCCGACTATTGCTACTGCAGCCGTTACTCCTGGCCGCGGCCATGCAACAGCTCTTCCTCACAGCTCCCCCTAAGAGAGTGCAAAAGCCCCTGCTACTGCGGCCCGGAAACCGTCCCCAAGCGCCGCTGCGCACTGCCGCGCTGTGCAATCGCCGCCGGGCGCGGCGGCGTCAGCGTCAGCGGTGGTTCTTCGCTCGCCGGCGCTGCTACCGCCGCCAGCGGTTCCTCTCCCTCCCACGACAACCGCCGGAGCCCTAGGAACATGTACGACGGATGAGCTCGCAGCGCCTCCAGCTGCTCCGGCGTCAGTTCTGGAGGCGATGGACGTGCCGACGGTGACGGCGGCGGCGGCGCCGCCATTCCTTGGTCGCCGTGGATCGTCCGGGTGGCCCAGTTCGCTCCGCGTGCTGAGAAACGGCCGCCGCCGCCGCGGCCTCCACCAGCCGCTCCGAGCCGCTGCGCCCTCGGCCGAGCAGTAGCAACAGTAGCAGTAGCAGCAACCCCAGCGGACTGGGGTACCCAAGCTGCGGCCCTCTCCGGCAGGACTGACGGCGCCATCGCCGTCGACGTCTTCGGTGGCGGCGCCGCCGCCTCTGCAGGCCGGGCGACGTCTTCGGCGGCAGCGATCCCCCGAGGGCCGCTGCCGCCCCGCGGCTCCTCGTCTTCCGCTGCGGCCGTCGAGTCACACGTACCGTTGGCATCTCGGAGGCGCTGTAGCAGCGCCACGGCGGCAGGGAGCGCCGCTGCCGCCGCTGGCGGCTGCTGAAGCTCTGGCGGCAGCGCCAAGCCCTGTGACGGGATAAAACAATGTATACAAAAAATATCAGCACATCAAAGCATTAAAAAATTCCCGCAAAAATATCTCGTACCGAAAAAGGTAAAGTTAAACAGGAAAAGTACGAAACAAGTGAATCAAATAGCGATATATAATTCAGCTTCGACATGAAAATGAAAATGCGACATTCACAGTTTGCTGATAAAAACAATTTAAGTCGTGGCATGCGTTAACAAGCCCCTGCTCCCAAGGACGCCGAACTCACCGCTTCTCTGGCTTCACGAGCCAGTCGAGCAGTCTCCGAAGAAATCGACATCATCTGCGACAGGAGCTGACGGAGTTCCTCCTCCTTGGCCGATGCCTCGCCGTCACCGGCGGCGACGTCACCGGCGGCGGCTGCGGCGGCAGAGGAGGAGGAGACTGCGTGCTCCTCGTTACCGCCGCCGCCGCCACCGCCGCCACCGCTGTAGCTGTCATCGCCGTCGTGGCTTGTCGTGATTCCGCTGCCGCCGCTGGCGCACACGCGGCCATGACGCTGTTCGCCGTCGGCTGCAGCAGCGGCGGCTGCTTTGTCGGTCTCCACTATTGCTGCTGCCGCTACAGCCGCCGCCACTTCCAGGGCTGCATGGGCGTCAGCCACATGAGGTGGATGTGGTGGCGGCGGCGGTTGTAGCAGGCTTTGCGCGTCCGTTACAGCCGCCTCCGCCGCAGCGTCGCCGCCGCTGACCTCAACGGAAGGCGCCGCCGCGCCGCCGCCACTGGCTTGTCGTGCCAGGGTCGCCGTCTGCAGCTCCAACTCTTGCAGCAACAAGTGGTGTAGCTCCTTCTGGATATCAGTTGACGACCCACGGGTCTGCTGCGGGGCGACCACGTCGCCTGCTGCTGACGCCGGTGTCCCCGCCGCCGACGCTTGACCACGGCCCAGCACAACGCTTTCTACGGCGCCGCCGGCGCCACTGCTACTGCCGACGACAGCACCGCTGCTATTGCCGACGGCACTTTCGCCGCAGTTTATGCCGTACCCGGTGTCACTACCGCTGCTACTGCCGCTGTTGCCACCAGGGCTACCGCCTGTGACCAACTCCTGTTCAAGCAGCATTAGGAGCTCCGGCTGTAGCGCAGCTGCAGCGCTGGCGGAGACCAACGCCGGCAACTGCTTGTGCTCGCCACAGGCGCTAGCACCGCTACTGCTAGTGCTACTGCCTTCCAGCGCCGATACGGCGCCAGCAGCAGCAGCAGCAGCCGCGGCCTCCAGCCCGGCTGCAGCGGAAGCAGCAGCAGCAGCAGCATCGGCGGTGGCGCAGTTTACAGTTTCCGCTGCCTGTCCGCCGACGGCGCCTCCGTCAGCGGACGGCGGCGGCGGAGAGTCTGAGGACGCCGTGGCCGCCGCTGGCGCCGCGGCGCCTCCGTCAGCGGCGGCAGTGGCGGGTGCCGCCGCCGCCGCCACCAGGCGAGCCAGTGCCGCCACGTCTACGGTACCGCCCTTCAACATGGACTGCATTAAAATGCTCAGCTGGAATACAGCGGAAATACAATAAGAGGGCAGGAAAAGAACTCAGCGACTGCGGCGACAGAACACGGCGTTCATGTATGTATGTATGTTGTTACAGGGTGGTTAACTTCGCCAGCGGCCCCTTTCCGGGGCAGTCCCTGCTCTCCCCTGCTAGAGGGGCACCCTAACCCGCCACCCCATCCGACTTCAGAATGTATTCGTTGGGTTCGGCAACTCACCACCAGCATCCAACCAAATCTAGCGGATCAACGGCGCATCAACTTAGTTCCTGGTCAGCTCGCAAGTTGATTTTATCACGTCCTACATCGTCTATATGATGGGGGGCCACCTCCCATTTCAACACTCCTCAAACACCCGAGGAGCCGGCAGGCGGATTTGAACTCGGATCGGCCGGGAGCAGAAGTCAGGCCTTAACCTCTGCCAGCCGCCTGCCGTATGTATGTATGCATGTATGTATGTATGTATGCGCACAGGAATGCAGGCCAAGAAGTGTGCAGGCCGCCGTGTACTGGCGAAAACCCGAAGCTGCTACCCCACCCCACGTTCCCACCCACCCTTACCCCCTAACACACACACACACACATACACTCACACCTGTACGGCGCACCTGTTGTCGCTGCTCGGCATCGCGCCGCTGCTGCTCCGCCAGTAGAGCTGTCAGCTGAGAAACCTGCGCAAATTCAAATACATTCAAAGATATCCAAACGCGACCGATCGGATTTAGAAATTATTGGAAAACATTTCCTTAGTTTCTTTATTCACGTTCTTTCTTTTAAATATTAATAATTTCTTTTTTCTTTCCATTTCCTTTCCCAAGGGATAGAGCCAGTGCACCCAAAGGGAGGAGTTCATTGCAAGAGGAGCAAAAGGAACAAGAGGAGGAAAGAAGGTTCCAGAAAGCCTGCCCCTGGGGGTCGAATGATGAGTTCTCGCGCACTATTCTAGAACCCTAAATTTCATTTACCGCAACGAATCCAACCGCATCTCAACAGAAAAAACGACCAGACTAAATGCTGGTGACACAGATAGAACTACAGAACCGGGCCGACACGGCGAGCTACGGCTACCCTCTCCTGTCCGCCCATTCCCCCACTCGACCCGTTTCCGAGTCCTGCCCAGTTCCCCGGCTCGCTCTCAAACGCGCCTGCTGCCTCATGGCGTGGAGCTCGTCGTACAGTGGCGATCTCCCTGGCCCTGGTGCCGTACGGCCCCAGCCGCCGAGAGCCCCATCCATGCCGTCGCGCCGGCGGGCATTGCTGACTCCTGCCCCACCATCGACGGCTGTAGCAGCGTCTCTTGTTGACCGTCGCCCCTGCTGCTCCGGACGCGGGTTGCTGCTACGGCCGCTGCCGTACACTGCTCCGCCGCCGCGGCCCCCGGTGCCACGTCCCCGTCCCCTCCCTGGATGAGCCGCGCGAGCCGGAACGCCCCGGGGACCAGAATTTCCGGTACGGCCGCTGCTAACGTTTGTCGTACCGTTCGTACTGCGGTCGCCGTCGGTGCTGGTACTGCCGGCTGCGGCGGCGACGTTGATGCCATCGCCATTGCTGCTGCTGTCGCTGCTGCTGCCGTTACCGCTACTGCTGTGAGTAACAGCGGCAGTAGCGGCGACTTCCTTTCCATCGAAATCCGTTAGTGACGCCAATGGCGCATCAGCACATGCCGCTACAGCCTCCGCCGCCGTTGGCAGCGCTTCCGCAGCCGTTCTCATTACGAGCTCAGCGACTGATTCCCGAGCGCCTCCGCTGGGTGGCTGTAGCTGCTGCACCGCCGTTGAGGCAGGTGGGGGCGGCGGCGGCGGGTCCGTCGGCGGCGGGAGCCCCGCGGGAGCCGATATAGCTGTAGCCACACATTGGGGCTGTAGCAAGGATGTGAGGCCGAAGAACGGGGTTCGCTGCCGCTGCTTTGCCAACCGGGCCGGGGGATATCTCGAGGCGGCGGCGAAGAGTCGCGGTGGCGGTGGCGCCGCCGCCGCCGCGGCGATTGAAGGAGGCGCGGCGGCGAGCATGTCGCTATCGTCAATCAGTCAAGTGACGAGGAGTTTTAAGGATTACGAGCTTCAGGTGTTTGCGTTGTCCAGCCGTCAGCCCCGTGTACAATCAATAAGCTTGAGGCCACGCTTGCTGGTGCGACCTGGGCAACATTGCAGTTCCGTCAGTTTTCATAAGCAGCTAAGCAGCACGTTGTCGGAGATGCCATCCTAGGTGACCGGAGTTCCAGATGGGCTGTGTCGGCTATGTGCAAATTGCGGTTTGGCTAGCTCGACCAACTAATGCTTATCGGTCATATTGGATACCATGTGTAAAAGGTGTGTAAGAACTGCATGTCCATGGTTATCGGGGGTAGCTTGGCGCCGCCCCAGGGCTACCGACACCTAGCGCACATCCTCGTCCCAACGAACGGTTAGCTTCCAAAAACTGTGAGGTTCCACGGCGCAAAATCAAAAAGCTTATTTTATCTTGCCTGGAATAAGCCTTGTCTTGGCGTCACCAAATGTCCGCCGCCACAAAGCCCACGCTTGCTGCCGAGCGCGGAAGCAACAACGCAAAACGCTGTACGCGTGCTCTAGCATTAAAGCATGTCAAACGTTGTGCCATGTGCCCTAAATGTTAACTGCATAGTCTTGGAGAAGGTGCTCATGCGGTTAGATGACGGTCGGCCTTCCGTCCTGCGCTTTCGTCCAGTGACACTATCTACCTAACAACCCAACTGAGCTCATCCACGGTGCAACTTTGCTCACAGCTCGGCAACAATACTTCATAAAGCAAGCTTTTTTTCTTTAGCCACGGATAAAACGGACAGTCAACGTGTTATCTTAACAGGAAGCTTTCAATAGCTGCTCTTATCATACTAGCATGGATTGCGAGGTGGCAATTTGCCTTTGGTAGATGTTCTTTTCTAGCAAACATATGCCGCGGAGGTCGATGGCTTGGCAGGCAGCTTGCAAAGCTATTATGCTTCTTTTCCTGGCCACGTTTGCATGGTCAAAAGATGTAATAGGTATGATTGAAGCATCAGCCCAATGCTGGGGCGGTTTGTATTTGCTTTCTGGTGTGAGATGATTCTATGGGCAGCTGTGAAGTGACCTGGCATCAAGTGTGAAAATAGTTGTCAAAGTAAGAGCTATCATTTCGCATCATGTGCGATTTAAGATTGCCTCATGTGCACTTTGCTCTGTGTACATCACCTGCTTTGGCAAAACGCACGCGCAGGAGTGCATCCGCCATCGCCAAGCCTGGATGAGTCATCGTTACCTCCTATTGCGCCTTGGCCGCCTTGGACGCCAGGTAAGCTTGCTCTCGAGCATGATTTCCAAGCACGCGCATCTCAGTACGGCAACACGCACGCCCTGCCAAAAAATCCCCTTTTTACCACAAGTCCCTCTTCGGTTTTCCATCCCGCCGCCGTCTCCCCCACCGCAGCCGCCGCAGCCGACGACGACTAAGACCCTGTTTCTTGCGTATGACCTTTCCCCCCTTCCTGTGGCCCTGCCCTGCCATTCGGCCGCCGTCACCCCTGCCGTCGCCGCCAGGGCCGCCGTCATCCCTGCCGCCGCCGCCACGGCCGCCGTCACCACGGCCGCCGTCACTACGACCGTCCAGGCCTTCACTACCAGTGATACTCGGAACACCGCCGCCAGCGCAGCCGCCGACGGCCCAGTCGCCGCTGCCGGCGGCCATCGCACCGTCGTCGCCGCCACCGGCCCTTCAACCGTTTGCCGTACCGTCCCCGCCCCCCTCCCAGCTGGCCTCGTCGCCGCCGGCGTCGCCGGTGCTCGTCCCTTCGGCTACCAGCTTTCCTAGGCCGCCAGGCGGCGTCGTGGAGGCTACGCCGCCGTCGCCGCTGCCCTCACCGCCGTCGCCGTTGCCCTCACCGCCGCCGGTCCCGCCGGGGTTGCCGCAGCCGCCATCGCCGCCGCCGCGGCCACCGCCGTCGCCGCCACCGACGGTGCCTTTTCCGCCGTTTCCGCCGCCGCGGCCGCCTATCCATGTAGAGAGCACAAAATCCACGGATGACGCCTTGATCGGCGTTATGGTGCCCTTGGGATTGGCCGTGTTGGGATCAGCTGGGTTTGTAGGCTGGAAGCTAATGCAGATGCTGCGTGACGGTGGCAGCGGCAGCGCCGGCAGCAGTGCCGTACGGGTGGACCTAGAGTCTGGGGGAAGGGGCGCCGGCCGCCGCCGTGCCGGTGGCGGCGGCGATGCCGCGGCCGTCAGCTCGACGTCACGTGGCGGCCCGGGTCGGAATGCTGCGGCGGCGGCGGCGGCGCCGGCCGCGGCGGCGGCGGAGGAATTGAATCCGTTATTTGGCTTTACCAAGAAGGCTCGCAGCGCCGCCACGGCCACTGCGGCGAGCGGCGGATCAGCGGCTACAGGGAGGGGCAACGGCGCAGCGAATGGGCGGTTACCGCAGCGACCGGCTGGCCGCCGTGCTGGTACTGCTGCTGCCGCGTCGCCGCCGCCGTCGGATGACTCCGGCAGCGGCTCCGATGACGGCTCCGAAACCGACTCCAGGTCGGACAGCGGTGGCGGCACCATGCAGGATACGATACCGAGGGG